AGTTCCAGGAAAGGCGCAAAGCTACACAGAGAAACCCTGTCTCGAAAAACCAAAAAAAAAAAAAAAAAAAAAAAAAAAACATTACTACCCAGGGGATGATGGTGCACTGCTTTAGTCCCATCTTGAGAGGCAGAGGCAGGTGGATCTCTGAGTTCGAGGCCAGCCTGGACTACAGAAGGAGTTCCAGGAATGCCAAGGCTACACAGAGAAACCCTGTCCTGAAAAAAAAAGTTACTGGGGCTGGAGATATGACTGACACCATGGGAGCATTGGCTGCTCTTCCAGAGCATCTGGGTTCAAATCCCAGCACCCACTTTGTGGCTTGTGGCCATCTGTGACTCCTGTCAGTGGATTCAGAACCTTCTCTGGCCTCTAAGGGCAGCAAGCACACACCCAGTGCCTTTACACGCATGCAGGCAAACACTAACACACAAAAAATAGAGGTAAATAAATCTTTTATACATATATATGTTAGAATTTTTTGTTTCATTTAACTATATTTTGTATTTTAATTTTGCAAAATTAGAAATAGTTTTCATGTGGGAAAGATATAACTCATTTTCAGCAACTCTAAGATGAAGATACAATATTTTCTTTTTCTGTTTTTGTTGTTGTGATTTTATTTTGAGACGAAGAACTCACTATGTAGCTCAAACTGACCTGGAACTAGAGATCTGGCTGCTTCTGTCTCCTGAGTGCTGTAACTAAAGGTGTGTTCCATCATATTCAGTAGGATAAAATTATTTTATGCCATCATGTGGATAACAAAAAAATCTTGGAGGTGGAGAGATGATTGGGTGATTAAGCGTTCTTACTGCTCTAGCAGAGGACCCAGGTTTGGTTCCCAGCACCCACATGGAAGCTCACAACTGTCTGTAATTCAAGTGCCCGGGAATCCAATGCCCTCTTTTGGATTTTGTGAGCACTAAGTGAATATGTTGTATAATACATACATACATACATACATACATACCTGCGGGCAAAATACCCATATATATAAAATAAAAAATAAAGCCGGGAGGTGGTGGTGCATGCCTTTAATCCCAGCACTCAGGAGGCAGAGGCAGGCAGATCTCTGTGAGTTCGAGAACAGCCTGGTCTCCAAAGCAAGTTCCAGGAAAGGAGCAAAGCTACACAGAGAAACCCCGTCTCGAAAAACCAAAATAATAATAATAATAAATAAATAATTTAAAACGTAAGTTCTTAAACAACAAAGTATGATTAATTTCTCATCATAGAAACTCAAGAGAATTTAATATTGAATCTAATAAGTCATAAATATCTATATTGGAACACTTATTTTAGCATTTTTACATAAAAAATTAACATTTGATATTATTAGCACTTGATAAAATTTAGACAGCTAAATCACCATGTTTTTTTTTTTTTTTTTTTGGTTTTTTCGAGACAGGGTTTCTCTGTGTAGCTTTGCGCCTTTCCTGGAGCTCACTTGGTAGCCCAGGCTGGCCTCGAACTCACAAAGATCCGCCTGCCTCTGCCTCCCGAGTGCTGGGATTAAAGGCGTGCGCCACCACGCCCGGCCCGAATCACCATGTTTGAAATAAAAACATTTTTGGGGAAACTCATGAGAATCAGAAATTCTTGATTTTAAAATAGAAACTAAAATGTAGAAGCTTCATAAAGAGTGAATTACCAAGCTGCCTGATATTTTTTTAAACAACTCAATTGTCTTTAAAAAATATAGTAAAAGTTTTAGTTTTTATTTAGTTTTTGACACCTGGATTAATACCATTTCTGACATATTTCTATGTCGAGTCTTATTTTTGTCTTGTATGTTAAATGTATAATAATGCTGTCACAAAATATTTTGCTTCTAGAATTCCTTTTCTATGTCAAGCTACACTTTCTCATTCAAATATTTCTCAGTATTATTAATGCTGATTCATCATCCAGGGCCAGAGGAACATTTAATGTGAGAAGAAGAAATGCAAACTTACTTTCACATTCCAAGTCACCACACTTTTTGAGGTGTGCCAGCAGCTCTGTGCCCTCCAGACACTTAGCCAGAGAAATAACCAAAAGAAGGATTCTTCGAACACTGATTTCCGCCATGCTTACACAAGACACCAGGGATCCTGAGCAAGCATCCGAATGCCTGTCAGGTCACAGACACACCAGCAGAACAGCAGACACTCTCTCCGGCCATACAAGAGGAAAAGGTTGAGTGTCGTTCCGTGTCTTCGTAACTACATTTTCCCGTTGGTGTCGTGGCTCAGCTTCAGGAGTTAACACTCTCTGTCTCAAGCTGCAGTGTCAGTTAGACAGATAATACAGAAGGGCTTAATCATTAACGGGGGTTTTTAGTTGGACTAATGTTTTATAAAGTAGCCCATGTGAAACTGACTCACTTAAAGGAACCTTGAGCCCAACAGGACAGTTCTTAAGCCTCCACAAAAGGGTAGTTAATCTCTACCATTGTCTTCAGGCAGATCGGTCAACAAGCACAAACCAAATATTTACTGCATGTAAATTCTAACTTCAAAAGAGAAGATATAGAGCCAGAAAATAGTCAATAATGCAGTGAATAAATGCATTTACCAGGAGGGCTGATGATCTGAGTTTAATATTACCTGGGACCTACTTGGTGGAAGGACAGAACTGATTCCCACAAGTGGCAATCTGACCTACACTTACACACACACACACACACACACACACACACACACACACACACACAGGAGAGACAGAGAGAAAGTTTTTGTAAATAAATAAATGTAATTTTAAAAGTTAAATGAATAATCCAAAATGAATTTATGGCCTTGCAAAAAAGCTTCAAATATGGAAATTAAACTAGAAACAATTGCTGTACACATGGCATTTAAAAGAAGGTATATAGTTGTACAAAAAGCAGTATGAATTTATGTTAAAAGTATGATTTTGAAATATGACTATCAGAAAAATTATTTGAGTATTTTAAAAAATCTTCAGTGTTACTCTGAAGTCATAATCAGAATAATAGTTAAAACATAATAGCCACTTCCTATGATCCACATATTATCTGAAGTACCTAGATAATGTGCACAGATATACGGTCTGATTTCAACTTCATACCAGCTTCGGGGTAGGCGACAGTATCACCTTGATATTTGCATATGAGCCACAGTAGAGACAGGCTAAGTCACCCAATGTCATTCAGTGAATGAAAAAAAAAATTTAAACGTATGTACTATGAAAAAACAACACAGTAACTACTGTGTTATAAATCACTGCTGTGGAAAAAACAGAAGTGGAGACTTCTTCTCATTTAAAAAAGGACACGTGTATTTCTGAACTCGGAAGGAGAGAGAGAGAGATGGGAGATGACTGGCAAGGCTCTCCAGAGGGTGGAAATGTGATTTCAGAATGGATTCTCCTTCATAGCTTTCTTTCCTAAAAAACAATGAGCATGCGCCATTTACAAATAAGTTAGGGAAATTGAGTCCTTTGAATGTTGTTGTTGCTTTAAAAGATCAAAGTCCTATATTGAGAAATTTTGTCTAACAGACTAGATCTAAAGGTCCCCAGGTCCCAAGGCAGCACACTGCACTCTAGGGCCAGACAGAAATGACACATATCCACCACCCCCGACAAGCTAAAGTAAAGGACCTTTGCTTTCAAAGTCCTAAAAGAACAGAAATACGATTGCCTGCTGGTTTGTTTACCCGTGGAAGTCTGCGCTGTCCAAGATAAGATTCGTACATTTCCCCAAAGAGTCCGATGGAATATGCACTTGAGGGTCAGTTGGCTTGCAACAAGGCATTCCAGAGTTGTGTACACACACACAGTGTAGGTTAGGCTCTTAATCAACTTCATTAGTCTGGAATATCATTGTTAATGACGTTTAAATAAAAATCAGCCAGGCTGATTTTGGGCCAGGTGTGGTAGCATATGCCTTTAATATTGGCACTCCAGGGAGGCAGGATCTCTGAGAATTCCAAGCCAATCTGGTCTACAGAGAAACTTGCAGATCAGTCAGGGCAAGATCCTGTGTCAGTGAGAGAGAGTGTTAACTCTTCATCCTCAAGATTTGGTGTGAAGTTATTTGCACAATGTATTTTATCAAAGCCAATATTAGAAGCTTCAGAGGTGGCACATATGTGAAGAGCACTTATGCTCTTGCAGAGGACCCGAGTTGAGTTCCCAGTATCCAGAGGGATCTATCACCTCTGGCCTCTCAGGGCACCTGCACCTCATGTACACAAATCTATACATAGCTACATAATTAAAAATAGTAAAAAATAAGCCAGGCAGTGGTGGCGCATGCCTTTAATCCCAGCACTCAGGAGGGAGAGGCAGGCAGCTCTGTGAGTTTGAGATCAGCCTGGTCTACAAAGGGAGATCCAGGACAGCCAGGGCTGTTACACAGAGAAACACTGTCTTGAAAAACCAAAACAAACAAACAAACAAACAAAAAAACATAAGAATAAATAAACAAAATAAAAAGAAGATAGACAGATACATACATAGATACAATACATACATATATAGTTACATAGATACATACATACAATACATAGATAGATAAATACATACATACATACATACATACATACATACATACATCTTAAAACCAGTAATAAATTGAGAACACTTAGCAATTTCCTTTAAGTATCATTGTTGTTTATACTCAACACTAAAGACCTCATGAATTAAATTCAGAATCATTGATGTTCTAAATTAGCAATAAACGGGTAGGGGAGACGGCTCAGTGGGTGAGGTGCTTGTCCTGCAAGCCTGCCGACCTGAGGTTTAATACTGAGCTTAATACAGGTGAAGGAAAAGAACTAACTGCACAAAGTCTGACCGCTACACATGCACATGACATGTGAGCACATCATGTGCACACATCATGAAAGCGTGTGCACAGGCTTGTGTGAACACCAGGCCCTAACTATAGAGTTGACCCCAGGTCCCACAGGGTGGAAGGAGACAAACAACTCTGGTAAATTGTCCTCTGATCTCTAGGCACTTATACTCACACACAGAATACATAGGTAGGTAGATAGATACATAGATACATACAATAGATAGATAGATAGATAGATAGATAGATAGATAGATAGATACATACATACATACATACATACATACATACAATACATAGGTAGATAGATAGATACATAGATACATACAATAGATAGATAGATAGATAGATAGATACATACATACATACATACATACATACAATACATAGATAGATGGATAGATAGATAGATAGATATATACATACATACAATACATAGGTAGATAGATAGATACATAGATACATACAATAGATAGATAGATACATACATAGATAGATACATAGATGATAGATAGATACAGATACATAGATACATACAATACATAGATACATACATACATACATACAATACATAGGTAGATACATAGATACATACATATAATACATAGGTAGGTAGGTAGATACATACATACATACATAGATGATAAGCCAAGGAGATGGTTCAGGGATGAGGGTACTTGTCACAAACCCTAAAGACATGCATTCAATTCCTGGAATCCATATAGAGTAAAGGAAAGCCAACTGTTCCTTCAAGCTGTCCTCTGGCTGCCACATGTACACTGTATCTCCATGATACACATGGGTACATAGACACACACAAATAAATAAAAATAATATTTAATTCAAAAATTCCAAGAAAAAAAGAGCAATAAGAGGCCAGCAAGGTTTAAATTTGTCTACTGAAAGGCAAGAGAGGGTGCACATGGTTAGTAGACCTATCTCTGAATATTTTCTCTACTTACATCTCTTTATGCCAATTACTGCACTCGGTGATCTCATTTTCTGTTCAGATCATGATTTAAAGATAAAAGAAAATGTAGCTGGGTGGTGGTGGCCCACTCCTTTAATCCCAGCACTTGGGAGGCAGAGGCAGATCTCTGTGAGTTCTAGCACAGCCAGGGCTACACAGTGAAATCGGGAGGGAAAAAAAGAAAGAAAGAAACTACTATACATACCAGCTCTATCAACTTAGATATTAACTAACAGTTGAGTCAGTGTGTAGATTAAATGTATCTATATTCATCTACAAAGTTAGCACTAAGGAGGATGTCATGGTAACAAAATACTGCCACCAGAGGTAAGAGAGCCTACTGTACAAAGCTGAAGACTGAATCATCAAAGCCACACATTGTATCCTACAGCTAAAATCACAGAGCAGCCTTTCCATCAGAACATAAAAGCATCCTCACAAGTGTTTGATTTTTATTGTATGGTGATGATATTATTGCCAACCCTATACAATATTGCCTTCTTTAATACTGTCTCAAATTCCTGAAAGTGAAAATGTATTTCTTTAAATCATCTGCCTGCCACTCTGACAATTTAAGATAAGTTCAGTCAGGACACAGCCTTAGAATACAGAATGAATAAACCTGTAGGGCTTTTCCAAGGTCCAGGCATGAGAACAGAGCCTTTGAATAAAGTCCCCAAGGTAGGCAGGCACATAGAAAGAAAAAAAAAATGCCTAGGAAAGAGAATGAAGCTTGTGTGGAAGACATGGAGAGGCCTGGTCTCCTATCCTCCAGGTAGGACTTTCTGGCCAACTGCTCTGTCTAGTCAGCTGGCAGTCTGCGGCAGGCTCCGATGTCAAAGTCTGCCTTCGCTGCATAGAGTCACCTTCCCCGAGATTACTCCTCCTGGGTGTTCCAGTGCATCCAGGGAATAAACAAAGTAGTCAAGGGCAAGGTCATTCTTTCACCCAGCACTTCCTGCTGACTAAGCCTTGCAATGTGACTTCCTCTGTGCTTTTCTGCTTTCTTCTTTCTTTTGAGGAAATGAATCCCTTGAGCCCCAAGCCCCATCTCAGCATCTGCTTCCAGCAGGCTAAATATCTAGGAAGCCATGAATCCCAGACCAAAAAAAAAAAAAAAAAAGTAAAATAAAATAAAGAAGACAACAGTAAGCATACATGTTTTGTTTTCGTTTGTGCTAGTCACTTGTGACTTCCTTGTGTGTTTTGTGTTGCTGAAGTCCACAGTGTAATTCTACTCAACCATTTTATGTTTTGTTTCTTGGTTTTTTGTTTGTTTGTTTGTTTGTTTGTTTGTTTTTTTCTAGACAAGGTTTCTTTCTCTTGTAGCCCTGGCTGTCCTAGAACTCGCTCTGTAGACCAGGCTCGCCTCGAACTCACAGAGATCCACCTGCCTCTGCCTCCTGAGTGCTGGGATTAAAGGCGTGTGCCACCACCACCGCCGCCGCCGCCGCCGCCGCCGCCACCTGGTCTGTGTTTTGTT